AGCAAAATAACCTTAGATAAATCTAGATTATATCAGCAACGGTCGTAGATATTGTTACTAGGGAAAAAAAAAACTAAATAACCATTCTTGCTCTGTCTCAAATTTGTGCTTTTGGCTTAAAAATAACTTAGGAGGTGTTATTGGATTAGTGTTTTTAATGTATTTTAAAATCAGAATAGAATCCTGTTATTTAATTGTGTATTTGATATAAATACATTAAAATCTCTTGTTATTGGATTAGTATTTGTTTGGTGTATTTTAAAATACAATAAAAACAACTGTTATTCAATAAACCCTTGATTTTATGGAATTTTGATTATATTGGATTTTGATGTATCTTTTCTCTTAAAACGTGAACAAAAGAAATACGTGACTTTTACCTTTGATTCTGATGGATTTCAGAATAAATTTAAAAAAAAAACATTTTCGATTATAGCTAATTTTGAGACTCGAAGGTGGGACTTGACATGAGAAGTCCAAAAGGTAAACAGATCTTAGATTTGTCATAAAGAAGAAAACTCTACACAAACATGAAATCCGAATGAAAATCAACCAAATCTTTCAAATTCCAATACACACATATCATATATGAAACAAAATTATATTAAATTTGAACTTACATTTGCTAATCCCAGAAATTAGAGAAGAAACAGAAGGAAGTGAATAAAAAATGGAGTCTTTTTTAGATGAACAAATCTTCTTGTTGGTAAAAAAGGTTTGGTATTTTGTCTAGGTTCCAATCGGCAAATCTCATAGAAAGGTTGAAAAGAGAAAAAAGATTCTTTTTCATGTTGTTCACAAATTCAACAAAATCCAACAATCAAAAAGAAGTACAATAAAATTCTTGTTCGAAAACGCGGCGCGGAGAGCCGATTCCACGGCGAAAAGGCGCTCGGCGGCAAGTGCCCGACGGGATTTTGTGGTAATCGGATAATAAATCGGATCTTTCCAAAAAAACTTAAAATTTTCACTATTTTAGGTTCAAAAGCGATAAAATTTTGATGGATCTGTTATATTTTGTTAT